CGCCTGCCCAGCCTGGCTGCTCAGGGCCCCGGCAGACGGCTGCGCTCCAGATCTGTTTGCAGGAGAGTGGAGCCGTTCGGCAAGCACTGGGCTCTAAGCACTTCGGCATCCAGGTTCCAGCCATGTCCTTGTAAGGTACCGAGTGGGCGTTTGAAATATCAGAACGTGCTCTTTGGGACACTGGCCGCCTTTGAAGCTGTTCTTGCTGCAGATTTTGGCCGTACAGGTGGCTGTTCTGGGTGCAGATTAAAGCCCTTCTGAGCAGTCATGTCTTGAAGAGTGGCAGTTCCTCTGCCTTCACTCCTTCCTCCTCAGAATGAACTTGTACTAGATGTTAAACTTTGCATCTGGCATGCAGAGCAAAGCTGGCTAGAAGAGAAAGGGGGAGGTGAGAGAGGCCTGATGGGGACTCAGAGTTCCCAGGCCCTCGGGACTAAGATGCAAGATCTGTCTTCCTCAGTGGTCTCAGAGCTCCCTGTTAAAGAGAGATTTGCCTTGAGTGGGGGTTTCCACTCCGGGGCAAGTCAGTGTCGTTTTCCTCCTGTGATGGTTTCTTGAGCACTGAGGTCATGGCCCAGCCACAGGAGAGAGCAGGGACATCCTTGCTTGGTGGCATCCCAGAGCCCGGAAAAGAATATACCGATGAAGGCTTGAAGTGTCTGCGTGCTGCCAGGCACCACAAACAAGGTCAGAAGGAAAATACACCGGAGGGGATACTGCGATTCCTATCGCAGACGAAGGTCTGCGATCCTGCGATCATCCCTCTACAGTGATGAAGGAAATTGAGTACGACAGCGGAGAACGTACAGTTCACAGGAGAGGAAGTACCCGCCAGACGGTGCTCGGCCCGGAGTAAGATGAGTGCTCGGAGTGAGGTGCCCCTCACTGAGGTGCAGGCGGGAACCATGCGCCAGGAGAGCGCGTTGTGCCGAGTGGCCGTGGGAAGCGGTGCCCAGTGCAGGCTGGCGCGTGAGTTGGTCAGATCCCCACGGAGGCAGTTTGGCAGCACCCCTCACAATTGCAGGTGCGTGTACCTCCCACCCCGCCCCCTGGAAGGCGGAGGCGTGCACCTGTGTGGGAGGGGACTTGCTAGGGCGCCTGGTCGCTGATGGCAACACTTCGTGAAACAGTAGAGTGGAAACGTGCGAGACAGCCCTCAGCAGGCAGTGAGCCAAACTGGGGTGCTGTGCAAGGAGACTGAGAGATGGGGGACGGAGAAGGAGACAGGTCTGTGTAGCCTTCCGTGTGTGTGCAGATTCTCCGGGGGGATGACCACGAGGCGGCCACAGTGGCTGTTGCTGGTGGAGGAAGCAGCCTTTTTGCAGCAGGCTGGCTTACACTGATGCTCAAGCCACATGCACGTTACCCTGTTCACGAAACGTCCAACCAAAAACGGGAGTGGGGGCCTGCGGGAGAGGCCGTATGCTGATGAGCTTTGTGACCCAGACTCCAGGCTGGGCCCCTGGGGAGTCTCTGTGGAATTCATGGGCAGGAGCAGGGGAGTGTGGTGGCCAAGGAAAGTTTCAGGTCCCTCCATCTGTGTCCCTTCTGTCTCTGAGAGCCCCATTCAGCAGCCTGGGGAGGAGGGGGGTGTCCTCTTCACTCACTTGGGGGTCTGTGTGACTTGGCCCCTCCTCCACACATGCCCACGCCCGCACCCTTCCCCCCTGGTGTGGGCTTAAGGCCTGTCTCCTCTCCTCTTTTTTTTTTTTTTTGGGGAGGTTTTTGCTATAGGGCGCTCACCAGGCTAGCAGGGAAGGAGTAGGTGAAGGTATCTTGGTATGACAATAGGGAGTAGTGGGGACTGTGGCAATTATAATCTAGAGAAGAAGAAGAGTCATATGGTCCTCAGTACTTGGCTCCAATCTGCTTTTTCTGTGTAGAATGGGTCTGGGTAATTGTAAGGGTGTGGACCTCGTTATGTTAAGAAAAGCTCTCCTCTCCTCTTTTTTTTTTTTTTTGGAGAGGTTTTTGCTATAGGGCGCGTGCACTTGCCAGACAGACAGAGAGAGACATAGAGACAGAAAGCGAGAAATCACCCCCCAGGGGAGATGGTCATGCCACAAATCCCTTCTCCTCCATTCTCCTCTCGGGATCTTGGGCACGCACGCACACGCGCCCGGCTTAAGTTTTAAGCCACCGGGTCCGGGACGCGAACCGCGGTCGACTAAGTGGGAGTCCAGCGACATAGCCATTATGCTAACTGCTGGTTCCCTCCTCTCCTTTTGTCATGAAACAGGAGTACTATGACAGTACCTCGGGTCAGAGGTGAGAGGTGAAGGCTCTCACAGGTCTCTGAACAAGTGAGTTCATCATTGCTCAGCCAGGTTGTGATGTTCCTTCCAGCAGGTTCAGGACTTGCTCCTTCTTCTTCACACTTCCTGACGGGTTCCCTCCGGGGTCCAGCTTCCTTCCCCCAGCAGCATGCCTGGGGCCGGGCAGTGCCTTCTGGAAAGTTCCATTGGCACCAGGGCCTCAGTCTGTGTCTGGTCAGTGGGTCCTTTGAGAGGACTTAGAGCACCTGCTGGTGGCCCGGACATAGCAGCTCCAGAAGGGCGTTCCCAGTGGAGACCGTGCTGTCTGGGATGCTCCCGGGTCAGACACGATTACGGAGGAGGTCAGCTGGGACCTCCCTGGCACACTGGGCACGTACACGCGTGCCTGTGGTCTGGACTGGCTGGGACTGGGTAGATCTCAGCATTAGGACCCTGTTGGAGAGGCCTTGCCCCACCCCTTCTCTCTCAGTCTCTTTCTGCCTCCCACAGAAAGAAATGGGTTAAATAAATTTTACAAAGAGAAGAAATAGGTTATGGATGGAAAGTACTTGTGAGCCAGTACTCTGTGGGGAAGACTAAGGCAGGAAGCTCCTTTCCTCCTGTGCAAGGAGTGGAGAATGGGCCGCGAGCTGCTCCTGTGTGGCGCCGGCCGCCCACTTCCAGTCCTCACACTGCAGCATGTGGTTCTGAGACAGTCCAGCCCCGCTCCTGGTCTGGTTCCTGGCCCAGTCCTGGCCACCTTGGCCTTGTGGACCTGAGGCAGCCGCTTCCGCAGCTTTTCTGCCTCTGCCGTGCTGCTCCCTGCCCGGCTGGGAGCTCCCTCGGCCGTGCTCTCCTAACATGCGCTCTGGTGTGGCCCGGCCTGTCACATCCTTCCGTGGCTCCCCACTGCTCGTGGAACAACATCCAGGTTCCCAGGCCCTGCTTTCCACCTGGCCCCAGCCGCCCCCTGCCACCCACCCACTGCTCCTCCAGGCTCCCTGAACTTCACTCTGTTCCCCTGAGCCCTGTTTTTAAGGCGGTTTCCCACCAGCGCAGCCTTCCTCTCAGCCTTCCTCTCGGTGAGACCCGGAAACGGAAGCGTACCCTGGTCCACATTGACACCTCCTGTCGTTCGCACCTCCTCCTCTCCTGCCCCCACCTCCAAGGCCCTGCCACACCCCACTCTTGTGTCCCCGTTTATGGATGTTATCACTCCGAAGTTGCCCTGCTGGTCATTTTCAGACTCATGTCACCCCGCCCTGCTCAGTGTGAGAGCAGAACAGGGAGCAGTTCCCCGCCGTCCCCCGCCCCTGGTTCTGTCTGCCATGGGCATGTGCGGGTGCATTTATGCACACCCACGCGTGTGCCCACCGCCCCACTGCGCCTTTGTTCCTTGAGGGGAGAGCGCATGCTGTAGGCTTTCAGATCTCTGCTCCCTCACCCCCAGCCAGGCGCTTGGCTCCCGCTGGAGCTTCCACCCAGCAGCACACAGGCAGCATTGGTGGCTAGCTGTCACTTAGTCCCAAAGAGGCAGATGGCTCCCAGTGCCAGGGAGGAGGGGACAGGACCGAACTGGTGTTCCTGACAGTCGTGTACTATCTTCCTGCAGCTGTGTCCCTCTGGCCCCTCCTTTGAGACCAGGAGACAGGGCCACCCAGGTGCGTGGGCTCATCTCTCCCCGAGGGGAGGGCTCTGTGTGCCTCTTCTCCTGACTCCTCCTTTTTCCCCCCACCAGGCCCCGTGGGCTCCCGATGGCGAGACTATGGCGCCTTGGCCATCATCATGGCAGGAATTGCATTTGGCTTTCACCAGCTTTACAAGGTAAGTGCCCGGCTCAGCAGCTGTGTGGGCCGTGCCCCTGCACCCCTTGGCTTCCAGCCCTCCTCAGCAGCCCTTGGCTCACAAGCTGTGTGGAGGCACCGCCTGCAGATGGTGCTCAGCCCTGGGGCCCAGTGGTAGTGTGTGACTGGGAGAACTGGGATGGCTGAGAGCCAGATGGCCACTCAGATCCTGCCTCCCCTCCCCTCCCCTCCCCTCCCCCTTCCTCTCCTCTCCTCTCCTCTTCTCTCCCCTCCCCATCCCACCTCACCCCATGATGTCTCTGCCCACAGGGAGATTGTGCAGTCCATCCACCGCAGTCTAGGCCAAGTATTGAGATCAGCACGTAGGTGGCAGTGCGTCAGCTTTCGGGACAGTGGCAGAGTAGTTAAGAGCATGGACTTGAGATCCCGGCCGCCTGAGCTCTGCCACTTAGTAGTAGCTTTGTCATCTGTAATATGGGGTAATAGTGCACGCCTCATGAGGCTGTCATGAAGATCGAAAGGGTCAGCGGTTCTTCACAGAGTGCTAGGAACTGTGCCTGGCACGTGGAAGCCCCACATTTGCGATTATTCTAGCTTAGTATTCAAGACCAGCTTGGGGCCAGCAGGTGGGGTGGTGGTTAAGGCATTGGACTTCCACTTGGCTTGCTTTCCCACTTTCCCTCTCTCTCTCTCTCTCTCTCTGGTGAGTGCACGTGCCCTATATCAAATTAAAATAATAAATAAATAAGTAAGTAAATGACTTTTGAACAAAACCCCAACTTTGAGGACTTCAGCATCTGGTTTTTGTTTTCTGCATATTATGTTGGTATGTATATAAATCTGGGCTTTTCCCCAGGCATCCCTCAGGACCCCAGCATTCACTGCGCACCGCAGAACTGAGGGCACAAAGTGAACACTTGCTTCCTTGATTCCAGGGTAAAGGCCCAACTCTGATTTGAAGTAAGCGAGTCTCTTTTAGAAGACGCAGAGCCCACATGGTTCCCAGGTTGGCTGGTTCCGGAGAGGACCCCCTTTCTCTTCTGAGGCTACCAGTTCCTCCACTCTTTTTTTGGGATTAAAAATTTTCCTTTATGTATAACAGAGTGCACAGGTGACAGAGACAGAGGAGGAGGGCGGGAGAGGCATAGGGACACGTGTGAACACCTACTCCACAGGGTCTGGTCACACTGCGATCCCTGTCCTCCGGCCCATCGCGTTCACGTGCCCAGTGTGTTTCAGGCTGAGGGACGCAGGGATTTGAACGATGGTCGCCATGTGGGATCTGGGTTCTCTCTCTCTCGCTTTTTAAACTATTTTATTTAACTATTTATTTAGTTAGTTATTTTAATTTGGCCAGAGAGGGAGAGAGAGAGAGAAAATGAGTAAGCAAGCTGCCAGATCCGGGACTCAGACCATGGTGGGCCATGTGGGAGTCTAGCACCCTTAACCAGCACGCCACCTGCCGTACCCAGGATCTGGCTTCTCTCGAACAGTGCACGGAGCCGGCCCCTGTGACTTTTGTTTTAAATGACCTGAATGCATGCCCAGACTCACTATTGTAACTTTTAGTACTTGAAACACGAACTTTTAGTACTTGAAACCTTGTGCCCTGGGATTCTTAATTTTTGACTCAGAACAAAAGCTAATGGCAGATTTATAGCAGAATATAATTTTTTCAGTGTAACATCTATTTCTGGAGTTAAAAATTGTCATGTCAGAAATCCAGAAGCAAAATGTCTTGGGGCCTAGGACTTGTCTGGGAACGAATGCCTACCCTCATCCAGTGTGTGCACAGCCCCTTCCACGTCACCAAGTGCGTCGAAGCGCGGGGAGATTCAGACGCTGGCCCAGAATTCTCAAGTGAGTGCCTCGGCCCTGCTGAGCAGCACCAAACCGGCCTGAGCCCTGCGGAGGTGGAAGCGTAGCTCCCCAGCGGGCGTGCTCACGCAGAGCTATCGTCAGCTGCTCCCACCAAGCCCCAGTCTCCCCCTCTGCTTTAGAAAAGAGACATGAAATATCTGTCCCAGTGGTGACAGGGAATTTCTAAAACATCTGCTAATAGTTTCTTTAAATTAAAAAAAATAAAACAGTAAGAAGCTGTCAGCCGTCTTGTTTTACAAACAGGTAAAGATTTAGGCTGCGGCGGCGTGCATGTACCTTCCCTTGCTGTCTCCGGTCTCAGAAAGCGCGTTTAGTTGGTTATGCTTATGAGGATTTCTCGACTTAGGGCATTTTCCACCTGAAACATAAGGCTACATTTGATGAGTTTCGGCTCAGTTGTGGGTAATAACTCACACCGTGGTTGAAAAGCACTTTGCAAAATAGAAAATGCTTCTATAACATATGCTAAATAATGATCTTCACTTAGGAGTCACTCTTGAAATGAGTTCTCCCACAAACGCCCCGTGAGAGACCTTTTTTCCTTCCCCAGTATAGAAGCCTTAATGGAGAAGTTTCCATCTTTTTTTTTTAATCTGAGGCCTGGACACATTAAAGAACCAAAGTTGTACATGGGTCATACCTGCCAGGCCTGCACCTCGCTAACCCTGGCAAAGGCTACATTTGATGAGTTTCGGCTCAGTTGTGGGTAATAACTCACACCGTGGTTGAAAAGCACTTTGCAAAATAGAAAATGCTTCTATAACATATGCTAAATAATGATCTTCACTTAGGAGTCACTCTTGAAATGAGTTCTCCCACAAACGCCCCGTGAGAGACCTTTTTTCCTTCCCCAGTATAGAAGCCTTAATGGAGAAGTTTCCATCTTTTTTTTTTTAATCTGAGGCCTGGACACATTAAAGAACCAAAGTTGTACATGGGTCATACCTGCCAGGCCTGCACCTCGCTAACCCTGGCACTGTCTGGTAATGCTGTCTCTACATCCTGACCTGGATCTCAGGCACCTGCTTTTTCACCTGCTCTCCCACTGGGCCCCTGCCCCTGCTGCCCGCCTCCACCCCTTCCTGCACTTCCTCTAAGTCCCACAGCCAGTTCCCACTCCGCCCCACCTGCCTTCTTTCTGAATGTGCCCAGGCCCCAGCCTCCTCATTTCGATGACCTGCAGCATCAGGGTTCTCTCCCCCAGGGCCAGTTTCTTGGGATCATGCCATCCCTCTTCCTCCTGCCCTGGATTTCAGTTCTGAGGAAGTCTGACAGCTTCTGACTCCTACACGAAGGAGCTTGTTCTAAGGATTCGAAGCTCTAGGTAAAGAGTGTGGCGGCCTCTGCTAGCCGCCTTAGATGACCCATAATGATCCTTTAGTCATTATAAGAACAAGGGGCCTCTAAACCTGTTGTCGATGTTCATCTAGTTTCTCAAGTAATTTTTAATTTTACTCATTCATTCCTGAGTGGGTGATTCATTCACAAGGTCAGATGTTAAAGATTCGGGAAAGTGCAACGAAACGCTCCTTACACTCACCCCTTCCTGGAGCTCCCCCGTGGCATCAGTGTCTTGTATATCTTCCACATTTGTATCCTACAACTTTTAAAGTAGTACTAAAAATGTAATAGCGTTGCTAAGAAAAGTAAGTAAAAGACCCAAAACACTTCTCCATCGCTACCGATCATGCCGATGTCCTTGAGTATAAGTATACTCCGACCCGGGCCTTGTCCCTACTCAGGCAGAGTTGCGGTCACAGCCTTGGAGCTGTTTCAGGAATCTGGCTCACGTAGGGTGTTTGCTTACGGTTTCTAAAACCTGGGACTGACCGAAAGGAAGTTGGGCAGCAGAGTGTGAGAGTTTATTGAAGGGTGACCCAAGTGGGGACCTGGGCCTTACACCCGTCCTGCTTCTTGCAGAAGTACCTGCTCCCCCTCATCCTGGGAGGCCGAGAGGACAGGAAGCAGCTGGAGAGGATGGAGGCAAGCCTCTCGGAGCTGAGTGGCAGCGTGGCCCAGACAGGTAAAGATTAATGACTCCATCAAGTCACCCCTCAGAGCCTTCTCCGAGCAGCCCCTTCTCTGCCCCCTCCCCTCTCCCCTCCGTCTCCACTTTATGTGGTGACTTCATTTATCTGCTCTGAGAATCTGTTCACATTTGCAAATGAAGCCGCCGTCATTTCGGTTTAATTTGAAATTGCTTGTTTACTGTCGGCGCGGCCTCAATTAATTATGTTTTTACGGAAAGGCTCCCAACCTCAGAATATTAATAAGGGGAATAAAATGACAGCCTTTCTAAGGGCTGTAAAGTTCATTTTTAATTTCTGCTTCTATGAGGTTTTCAGGGGGGTTTTCAGTGATTTTCCCCCTTCCCTCTAAGAACCCAAGGCAGGGTCAAGAGAGTCTGTAATTACTGTGGCTCCCAGGACCCCGGCCACCTCCTCTGTTATCGACTCCACAGGGCTTGCGTTCATTACCCGCTGCCCCGATGACGGCCCAGATTAGCTGGGACCTGTCGCGCCAGAGGTGGCTTTTCTCTAGTAAACTTGTTTACCAGATGGAGGCTCTGAATCTGAAAACTTGAGGCTGGTGGAAGAACCACCAGTCCCAGGCACGAGTCTGTGTCCCTTGGGACACATTTGCGGAAACCCTCCAAAGTCCCCTGGTGGATCCATCCCGTGTGCTCCTAGAAGGTTGGCATGGGTGGCACCGCAGACAGATGGGTCACATGATTCCAGGGTGCTCCCAGAGGCAGCCTCAGATCAGGCGGGGAGGGCAGGAAGGAGCAGGGGAAGCAGGGTGTGCTGTGTAGCCACTCCTGGGTGTTGCGGAGACCCAAGCTGCACCTCTCCCAGGACTCGAGACTTTCCACGAGTTCCACAAGGACACCGTGAGGCCTGCGAGATGAGTGATGCAGGCATTATGGAAGTTGGAAGAGCCAAGCAAATCATAACCAGATATAATTAGAGGGGAGAGGTTTTGGACGGATATACTGTTGACCATGGACAACTACACAATAGAAAGATAAAGTAGAAATACTAGAGGTTAGATACAGTGCAGGTAGATTACCCAGAGTGCAGATAAATTATATGGATTGCGGAGGGCGGGGTTGGGGGGGCGACGTCTGCAGATAAATTAGATGTGCAGGAATACAGGCGGCTCAAAGGTGCGTGGACCGCGAGAGGGGAAGACGTGTGTGTATCAATTTAACAGAGACGCGCCTGCTTCTTCCCCCAGTGACTCAGTTACAGACAACCCTGGCCTCCGTCCAGGAGCTGCTGATCCAGCAGCAGCAGAAGGTCCAGGAGCTTGCCCACGAACTGGCCACCGCCAAGGTACTGGTCTCTGCCCTCTGGCTCCCTCCAGGCCTGGGTCTGTCCTGCATAGCCCCCCCCTGCCCGTGTCCTGTGTGCCCACGGATGTGCCCGTGGCTGGCCCATGGTCCCGGCTCATCGTCACCTGCTGTCTGGTCTCACTGTTGCACAGCAGGAGCAGACCCTGCCCTTGTAGAGAAAAGAAGCAGTCACTGCGTGGTCGGCGTGGTATTTAGCCACTAAAGCTGTCCCTTCATTCTGCGTCACCTCCCAACAGGAGGGAGCGAAAACCACCCGCCGCCTGTGGACTTCCTGTGGCAGCCACACCCCCACAGCTCTGGAGGCCGTCTGCGTAGACGTGGAACAGCCTCCACCTGTGCGTTCAGCTGCAGGTTGCAGCGTTGCTAGGAGAGACTCCTGAGAACAGGGCGAGAGCAGTGCCATGGTCAGTTTCCAGCCCTTGTCTGGTCCGAGGTACCAGGCTTACCCACTACAGGGAGCAGTTCTGTAAACCGGGGTTTCCTGGGTTCAGGGGCACCCTATAGGAATCAGAACTACCTGTGATGGACTGCTGCTTCCCTGCCTCACTTCTCTAATGAAGCAGTCTTGGCAGTGTCAGATCTGAGGGTCAGACTGCCTGCCCTATCATCTTGGTTCTGTCACTTGCTCGCTGTGGGATCATAGGCAAGTTACTTAACCTCTCTGAGTCTTAGTTTTCTCATCTGTAAGACACCGGGCTGTTCACATGCTAGAACAGTGCCCGACTCCAGCGAGCTCCCAGGAGCACAAGCCCTGTGGGTCCTGTGGGTATGTGGCAGGGGTCATCCCTGACGCACTGTCATAGCAGACTAGGCCCAGGAGATGGTGGTCCTGTGGCTCCAGACACCACCGGCCTGCCCTTTGTTCCCCTCTCCCGTAGCCCATGGCCAGTGGGCGCTGCATTCTGGCTCCTGTGCAGTATGTACGTAAAGGCACGTGGGGCACATGCTCAGCACACATGCACTTCCCACTGCCAGTGGGATCTGGAGCGCTCCCTGTGCAGAGGGGCCCAAGACCTGCTCCCTGGGTATCCATCGCACACAGAGGCGCAGTTGTGCTTCCTGGGACTGCAGTGGGCGCTGGTACCACCCCAGCCGCTGGGCGTGTTCTCTGCAGACGGCTGCCCTGCTGGCCTCTCTGCTGGTCTTTCGGATTGGTGGCCTGCCTGGGGCCAGAAGCCATTCCAGACCCTGGGAAACCGTTTTCAGGCTGTCGGCATTAAAATTAAGAGCACGTGTTGTGTTTTTAAAGGGGATGGGACGTGGGGTTGCTCTGAGTGGCCTGCAGAGATCTCAGGGCTTGTTTTCCCTGGCGGCCTCCCCACCGCCCTGGCCCCTTTTCATTCTCCCTTCACCCAAGCAGGGCTCACGGGCTTGGTATCTCACCATGTGTGTGAGGACTTTGGTTACCCCATAAACTAAAGACTCAGAGCTGTGTTTTCTCAGCTGTAATGTAAGTTTTTATATCGGGCTTCCCAACTCCTACTGGAGCACTGTAAAAAATTAAAAAGAAGAGCTTTAACTAATTAAAAAACCTACATAAAACTGAAGGCTGTGAGTTTTCTACAACTGTTTTTTAAAGAGACTGGCTAAAAAGCCCCAGATGTCAGATTTTATTTCTAAATCCTGGCATCTGGCACCATATGCGTTTGGAAATCCGAGTCCTTTGTAGGCCGGTGAGTGGAAATTGCTCCCTTGTTAATGGGCTGCTGGAGCTTTCAAGGTCTCAGAGAAGCCAGAACAGTGGCTCCTGGGGCCTCGCTGTCTGGTGGTCTGGAGTGGGGGCCCCCGGGGGATGTGTGTGAGGGTGATGGGTGTGCACGCACTCTTACTCCAGACTGCCTGACTGTCCCCACCTCAGACTTCCAGTGCCCTATGAGGGGCTTCTTGCTGCTCAGGTGTGCTGGGCACCCCCGCCCAGGTCAGAGGCCAGGCCTCTGTGAGCTGCCCAGAGATCTGCAGCAGACTGGCAGGGAGGCAGGGACAGCCAGGGGCTATGCTCTGCCAGCCATGGATGGCAGTACCAGGAAAGCGAAGCCTTGCGCCTCTCATCTGTGTGCGTAGGACAGCCCTGGTGACCCGGGCCCTCACACTGAAGCCCTCTTGCCTGGCGTTAGTCTCACAGATACTTCACAGGGGCCCGGCCCCCAGCAGTCCTTTCCGGGGGGCTGCTGTGTGTCTGTCCTCTTCTCCATCCATCCCAATGAGATTTGCCGGAAACGGGGCGTGGCTGTCCAAAGTGTGTTTGGAAAACTGTCAAGGTGAGAGTGGAGAGGTGCGCAGGACGGGGGCATTGTCAGAGATGACGGTGCGGTTCCCCTCTCCAGGCCCTCTTCAGGGAGGGATCGAAGGCGCGTCCTATGGATGGCTTCCTCCTTTCTGCCGACCCTGCAGAGATCTCCCGATAGAATGCCGTGAAGGGGTGACATGGCCCACAGGTCGCTTTGCAGACAGAGGGGTGTCTTCCATGGCCCTGGGGAGCCTGGACCCCTGCCATCATGGAGCTGGGAGCCAGGGTCTCTGACCAGCACTGGAAAAGTCATATGGTGAGGACTGTCCTCTAGGACTGCCGGAGATTGCAGATTTGGGAACGCGACGAGCAGGGCCCAGATGCCCGCAGCTGACTGACTTCTGGGTGCCCGGCTCAGGTCCCTGCCCATGGCGTCCACAGTGCAGTGGCCGCCTCCCCTCGGCCCCTTCTTCACCTCTGTGTGGTGGGATTGCTTTTGGTGGGGAGGGCATCTAGGTGGGGGGTAGGTGATGCTGTGCGCTTCTGTACTGGTTGTTGTTTTAATGGCCATTTCAAACACATGGAGAAGTGGAGGGGTCAAAGAGTGAACCACAGGCTCCCCCCACAGTCCGGCAGCCTCATCCCCGCCCACCTAGCCCCTGCCCTGGTCATTCCGAAACAGATCCCAGACGCCCTGTCACCCCAGACTGCAGTCTTCAGCCTGTCGCTGAGCCTTAGGGCCGCAGTGATTGTGTACCATGTGGTCACCAAAGACAAGGAGCCACACCTTCGCGTCCTCCGGTAGCCAGGCAGTGCCACCCGAACGTGTGTTTGAAGGGTGTTGTCGTTGAAACAGACAGATCCCTGAGTGAGCAGTGGCAGAACCTTTCTGCGGGATGGCCCGGCTGGCGCACCGGATACGGTCATCCCAGGGCTGCTGCTCCTGTAGGGGCCTGGGGCAGCTGCAGCTCCTCCGGCCACGCTGACCCGCTTCCCTGTGCTTTGACTTCCAGGCCACCACCTCCACCAACTGGATCCTGGAGTCCCAGAATATCAACGAGCTCAAGTCGGAAATTAACTCCTTGAAAGGGCTTCTTTTAAATCGGTAGGAGGGAAGGCCCCGGACTCTGCCCTGGTCCCCGCCTTTTGCGGGCAGTGGGAGCACCAGGCTGGTTTGGCAGTGGCACCAGGAGCCTACCTGTCCAGCCTGACTGAGCCACATGGTTCCGACATGGTTTGCAAACCTTTGACCTCTGCGCTCCCTCCCTAACAGTCCCCTCCCTCCTTGCTCCCTGGGTGACAGTCTACAGCACCCATGAGGATTTTGAAGTATAAGGTTTTTAGCCCTGCCAGAACAGCTCGAGCCCAAAACCAGGATTTTGAACAGAGAACTCCTCAGTGTGAGTCATCCAGAGACAGGGCCTCCAGACAGGCTACTACGTCGTTCCTGAGCCCCCCGTGACCTCTCGGTGACAGCTTGGTCCCAGAGAAAACCCTTCCAGGGGGTCAGGAGTCTTAAGCCGTCTAGTTTGAAGGGCCCTGTGATGGAGGGGATAGGCAGACTTGTCCATTGCCCCTCTGCTTCTTCGACATCTCTGCTGTCCCTCCTCAGTGATGGCACATTGTCACCAGCACAGTCCTTGGCGTGTGGTGACCAGCTTGTCCTGGTTTGCCTGGGTCTGTCCTGGCTTTAGCACTGAGGAAGCTCTCGGTCCTGAGGCGCTGGGACGCTTGGCCATTGCCTGGACCGCAGCCTGGGAGGCCTGCTCAGGGCACTGATTCTCGGCTGGGCCAGGGCCTATGGGGCCATGGGAGGCAGGACGATGGCACCCAAGGCGGGCTTCACCAGAGGTCACCGTTCACCCCGGGCCTGCTGCTCCTGTAGGGGCCTGGGGCAGCTGCAGCTCCTCCGGCCACGCTGACCCGCTTCCCTGTGCTTTGACTTCCAGGCCACCACCTCCACCAACTGGATCCTGGAGTCCCAGAATATCAACGAGCTCAAGTCGGAAATTAACTCCTTGAAAGGGCTTCTTTTAAATCGGTAGGAGGGAAGGCCCCGGACTCTGCCCTGGTCCCCGCCTTTTGCGGGCAGTGGGAGCACCAGGCTGGTTTGGCAGTGGCACCAGGAGCCTACCTGTCCAGCCTGACTGAGCCACATGGTTCCGACATGGTTTGCAAACCTTTGACCTCTGCGCTCCCTCCCTAACAGTCCCCTCCCTCCTTGCTCCCTGGGTGACAGTCTACAGCACCCATGAGGATTTTGAAGTATAAGGTTTTTAGCCCTGCCAGAACAGCTCGAGCCCAAAACCAGGATTTTGAACAGAGAACTCCTCAGTGTGAGTCATCCAGAGACAGGGCCTCCAGACAGGCTACTACGTCGTTCCTGAGCCCCCGTGACCTCTCGGTGACAGCTTGGTCCCAGAGAAAAACCTTCCAGGGGGTCAGGAGTCTTAAGCCGTCTAGTTTGAAGGGCCCTGTGATGGAGGGGATAGGCAGACTTGTCCATTGCCCCTCCGCTTCTTCGACATCTCTGCTGTCCCTCCTCAGTGATGGCACATTGTCACCAGCACAGTCCTTGGCGTGTGGTGACCAGCTTGTCCTGGTTTGCCTGGGTCTGTCCTGGCTTTAGCACTGAGGAAGCTCTCGGTCCTGAGGCGCTGGGACGCTTGGCCATTGCCTGGACCGCAGCCTGGGAGGCCTGCTCAGGGCACTGATTCTCGGCTGGGCCAGGGCCTATGGGGCCATGGGAGGCAGGACGATGGCACCCAAGGCGGGCTTCACCAGAGGTCAAGGCTGGGAGGATCCCAACCAGAGGACCTCATCTTCCAAGCCCCCTGCTTCCTGGTGCTCCCTGAGGGGTAAGTGGCTGGGCTCAGGGAGGGGCCCATGGCTGTCACAAGGAGAAAAGTGATTTTCCTAACCCAGGAGGTCAGTGCCTTGGTGGCTGGGGGATGGCGAGCAGGCCGGCAGGTGACTTTGGAACCAAAAGAACTGCAAATTGAGTTTCTCATTAGCCTCCATGACCCTGGTGAATAACACAGTCCTGCCTGGCACGTGTGCCTCACCAAAGCAGGTCTGAGGGAGGGACCGGTGCTGGTGGGACAGTGGCAGCCAGGACCGGGCAATGCTCAGGCCTCTCAGCTCAGGCAGAGATGGGCCTGCCTGTCCTAGAGCTTCTGAGATGTTGCCAAGTAGACCTGACCTCCCAGGCCCCTCTGGAATTGGCTTTAGTCTAGGCTGGCCCAGGGCCACACGTGGAGGGAGGGAGAGCCGGCACTTCCCTGGCCAAAGTGTTGGGCTCAGAGGTTTGCTGGCAGAGCGCTCCGACATCGCCCGTTTGGTTCTGACATCTCTGAATCCCTGGCCAGTGGCCAGGCCTCCCTGCTGTCACCTTTTGCCTAAGGCAGAGACAAGTTAAGAGTTGAGATCCTGGGGTGTAGGGTCCCTGCCTTCTCCCTCTCCTGGCCACTGAAATGGAGGCAGGACAGTGCTGAGGAGCCAGAGTGGGCTCCAGGGAAGGCAGCCCTGGTCCAGCCGCCAGCAGCTGTCAAGGCAGGCGGGCCCTGCCCAGGGCAGAGTGGCCCACGGGCCCCTGGGTGCAGCAGCGCTCTGCTGTCAGTGGGTGGAGCCTCCAACTGGCCAAGAGGTTGACCCTGAAAGGAGGGAGAGCAGGTGCTGTCCTGCTGTTTCTGTCACCTCGCCCCTCCTCACCAGTCCCCTGCCAGTGGCTCTGAGTGGGAGCCCCAGATGTGGTCACCGACCTTCGCCTGTCTTCTCCTCTGCAGGAGGCAATTCCCGCCATCCCCGTCAGCTCCAAAGATCCCCTCCTGGCAGATCCCCGTCAAGTCGCCGTCCCCCTCCAGCCCCGCAGCCGTGAACCATCACAGCAGCAGCGACATCTCACCAGTCAGCAACGAGTCCACATCGTCCTCACCTGGGAAGGAGAGCCACAGCCCCGAGGGCTCCACGGCCACATACCACCTGCTGGGCCCCCAGGAGGAAGGCGAGGGCGTGGTGGACGTCAAGGGCCAGGTGAGGATGGAGGTGCAGGGCGAGGAGGAGAAGAGGGAGGACAAGGAGGACGAGGACGAGGAGGATGACGACGTGAGCCACGTGGACGAGGAGGACTGCCTGGGTGTGCAGAGGGAGGACCGGCGGGGCGGGGATGGGCAAATCAACGAGCAGGTGGAGAAGCTGCGACGACCCGAGGGCGCCAGCAATGAGAATGAGCGGGACTAGGCCCGCCACCAGCCCGGGATGCCATCCAGCCTGTGGTCCTGTGGCTGTGGCCTTGCCATCTCCTCTGGCTCTGGGAGGGCGGCCTTGAGCCCAGGCCGAGGACAGAACTCTCAGCTGTGCTGTGGCCCCAGTGGCACTGTGGGGGTCGCGTTTCTGTCACCTAGCCCCCCCCTCACCTGGACACCAGCCCCTACCCCACCTGTAAGTCCTCAGCTCACCCCAGGCCATGGGGCCCTTGGCCTCGTTCTCAGGCCGCGGGCGCCGAAGCCCTGGGCTCAGCCCTCGCCCAGCACCATCTCCCGGGCGGCCGTCCTGTCCAGGGTGTGTTTGCTGAGTGTCCTGACTAACGTGACGCCATGCATGGCTAGAGCTAGTGCCGTCCCGCCTCCCACCTTCTGGGTGCAGGGGGAGCTACTGCCCGCCCCCTCCCTGGGGCTGGGCCCTGTCCCCATAGCCAGGGGCTCCTGGCCTATGCCGCCCTCGGGCGCCCGTCCCCAGCCTCAAGCACCTGTGTGCCGTTGTCCTCCAGACAAATAAAGTCACTGCGCTTCTGACCATCCTCGCTTGCCGTGTCACGATTCAGCTCATCCCTGGCGGGACGGGACTCGCTGCAGGGAGCCGGGTGTGGGCCTGGCCCATCAGCAGCCCTCGTCCGTCTCTCCACCAAGGAACACGTGTCCGTCTGTGTGATCATGTATAGATTTCTGGATATAAGACACGACTGTACATACTTGTAATAAATATGAGTCGCCACTGTCTAACCCCGGCCTGTGGCTCCCTGTCTGCTCCAGGCACCCGTGCACCTGAGGCGGGTCTCAGCTCAGGCCAGAGGGGGCCTGAGGGGCAGCGCCTGCCTTCTCCACGCCTGGCCCTTCCCCCAGGCGGGGACCACGGCTGCTCCTCCAGCGATGGAGGGGTCTGTCCCTCAGTGCAGGTACCTCCAGCAGGGCTGTTTTCCTGACCACAGGAGGGGAAGGTTCCGGTGTGGCCAGATAGAGACCTGAGCGGGTGCGACGGACGAGCATTCCCCGGAGAGCGTGTTCTTGCTCGCTGTTCCGCCGCCTCTCGCCCTCCCTGTCTCCCTTTAACCTTCACAGAGCATTTAGCTCAAACCGGAAGAGCATAGCCAGAAGCTCCTTCCAAGGGGCGTTCTCGTCTCTCCAAGTGCCGGGCCCAGCCTGGGGTCTGTGGGCGCTAGAATGTCCGTGCCTTATGTAGACGTAGTGGCTTTGAAGTAGAAGGTGCCTGGGCAGTGGCCACCACTGCAGGTGGAGCCACGCAGTGCGGGACCAGCCCTTTGAGCGGGCACAGGCTCTTGGCCTCAGCTTGCACTAGCCTGGGAGCAGGGAGGAAGACAGCCCTCTGGGCTGAGACTGGGCTTGGGCCATCCTGTCCCAGACCTGGCACGTCCCTTTCAGTTCCCCTGTCCGTCTGCAGCAAACCCTTTCTGATTCCCAGGCCCAAAGGGCCTGCTAAGACTTTGGGTCACCATGACTTGGCCTGCCCCCACCCTCTTGAGTGTCCAGCCCTGGTCTGGCATGTGGCCTACAGGACACATCTTCCTCATGACACTCCTGGTCTGTGGTTCTGGCCACGTGTCCTTCTGCAGAACCCAGATTGAGAGCCACACTGCGGCTCCCCACCATCTCTGCACCTCCATCTCCTGCCTCCTTGCCAGGCTTTAGTTCCAGGGGGCACCAGCCTAGCTCAGATGAGAGGCCCCGCTCCCTCAAAGGCCTTCAGGAGCCCCAGTGTCCAGGAGGCAGGGGGCAGACCTGGCATGGACCGTCAGAGAGTCAGTGCGGGCAAGGCCATGGGACACCTAGGTCCTCACAGGCTGGTCACTGGGCAGTCATGGCCCCCTCTAGTTTGATGCCACGTGGCACTGCCCATAAAGCTTCAGTGGCCCCTCCTCCAGGGGATGAGAAAGGTGGACCAGAGGACTCCTTTGGTCAGAAACAGAACTGTTGGAGCTGGGGCAGCGGAGGTGAGCCGTCACCGTGACAGAGGCCTCCCTGTGTCCACCTCTTTAAGAGCAAGGGTTACAAAGAGAGGAATCCGCGGGGCTTCACTGGCCCCAGTGGGGGTGGAATGAGTTTTCTCCATCCTGGGAGATGGTTCACAGGTCCTTGGGGTTCAAGTGCGCAGGAGAAAGGATGGACCTGGGGCCCGGAGCCTGTTGCCTCTGTGGGTCCTGAGCGCTGAGTTCGGCTTTTGAGGACAGCGAGTCTGGCAAGGTTTCAGGGAGAGAAAAACCCCTCCCCAAAACGGCGTGAGTGCTGCCTAATAAAGGCAGCTGCTGGACGAGGGAAAACAGCCCTTTGAAAAAAAGCCTTTCATTAGAAAAATAATGCATTTCATCCAAATAAGGTAAAAATATTTGGAATGGGGCAGAAGTGAGAGCAGGCAGCGCCTGTCAGGCCCTTTCTGGAAGGGAGGAGATTATTAAACTCAATTACATCGCGTTTTTATTAAGTGTCCTTTAGGAAAGAGCTAGCCCCAGTGCTCAGAGTCTGCAGGCTGGCCACCCTGCGCTCCCGGCTTCTTGGGGGCCTTGTTGGCTCTGCCATGAGCAGGGGCCCTCCCTTTGCATTTGTGGTACCCGAGGAGCGGGCCAGGCGCGAGGAACATCCCTGTGGTGGCTGCCAGCCGCTGGTGGCTAAAGCTGCTTCCTCCAGCAGAAGCAGGGTGCCGGGGCTCCCATCGCCTGTGCGGTTGGTTACCCGTGGACCCCAGCTGGGAAAAGAGCCTTTGCCCTCTCCACTGCACCTCCTCCGGCATGTCACTGTGTGCTCATGGAGCCTCTCGTCCTTTCTGTCTGTCTCTGTCTGTATTCAAATAAAGGCGGGAAACTGCTCTTCAGGGTCCTGCGACCTGCTTATCTTACTGAACGGGGAATGTGTTGTCCTCAAGGGCATTCACACTCACGGGAAGTGCGAGAGTTTTCTAGAAGGCCCCCTCTGCTGCCCTCCCCACTGCGAGCCAGCCAGGAGCATTGAGACAGTGGTTCTGTGGCCTGGGCCCAGCCCCCTCCCTCTCCTCTGGGTGACTGCCTTGTCCCTGTCCTTGTCCTTGGGCCCAGGAGGGAGGAGGACGGGCCCATTCTGGTGGGTCTTACCGCCCATCTTCAGCACTTGCCTCAGTCAGGTGTTTCTTCAGCTGTGTGTCGAAACTGGTTTCTGCCAAGATACCCAAAGAAGGGGGTCAGGGCCTTGAGAGGACAGGTACAAAGGCACCAAGGAGACCCCACAGGTCTGGGACACCAGCCTTAGGTGAGGTGCACACCTGGGGGGAGGCCCCAGGCGTGGCCCAACCTCCCTAGCCCTGAACGTCCTTTCTGGCAGGAGGCCTCGGTCCTGCCCCTTTGCCTGCATAGGCATTTCCCACCCCGGGACCAGCCAGCGCCTGGCCAAGGGGCATTATTCAACCAGCACCTCCAGGGTGCTGTGTGGGCGCGTGGCCATGTGCTCCATGCCCAGGGCACTCTCCAACATGCACAGGACCACTCAGTGGGTCCCGACACTCTGAGAGGCCCCTCTGCCCTGTCCCCACTCCCACGTGCCTTCCACCCCCGTCCCTGGGCCCTGTTAAATATGGAACAGGTTTGCGGTCTCCACCAGCATTGCGGGGCGATCGCACCTGAACCATCAGCAAGCCCTGCCTGCTCTGGTCGGGCGCCATGCAGTTCTCTCCCAGAAGAGACGAGAGTGCTTTTAACCTCATACAGACAGTGCCTGGCAGTTGCTGTAAGGACCACGACAAGTGCCACAAGGACCTTCTTTACAATCCACCGATGCCACTCTGCCAGTCCTGCAGCCCTGTGAGTGCTGCGACAGGGCGTTAGCAGTTCAGGGATGCCCTACAGACCCAGGGTGTGGCTGCTAGCCTCGGAGGCTGGGAGGCTGGGCAGGGCCTAGGAGGTCCTTTGGTGGGGAGCTGGAGTCGCTGGTCCAGTGTAGGGGTGGGGCTTACAGAGGCCACATGGCGGTGTTTGGCTGCTCTGGGCTGGCTGGGCCTCCTGGGAGCCGCCTCCTCTCTGACCTTCCTCAGAGGATGGGGCGCTCCCCAGTGAGGGTAGCCCAGGCGTGGCTTCGGTGCATTCCCAGCAGGGTCTCCAGGATTCCAGCCTTTTTGAGCGAGCTGGAGGCAGCAGCATTTTACCCACCAGTCAGGGCAAAGGCTCGCTGTGAGGCAGGCCGACTGCACAGGGCTCTCGTGACAATGGATGGACAACCCGCATTTGCCTAGGCAGGGGGCTGGCCTGTCACTGGGTGTCCAGGTGGGCTGGGGGCAAGGCCTGGCTCCCATGGGTGACTCAGCTACTGGTAGCACCCAGCCAGGCTGGGTCTGCGGACAGGCCCCTGAGCTCAGCCATGAGCTTGTGCAGCTGGTTCTGGTGCTTTCCAAGAGTTTCCAGACGACTTTGCCCCGGTTTGGTGTAGGAACATTGAACACCGCACTAATTAGACCCCAGAATGGAAACCTGTGTTACTGCATCTCCTGCTGGGCCCAGCAAGCCACAGGGAATGCTTTGGGCCGGGGCCCACTCCCGCCCCTGGGCGGGGCCCCACCTGCAGCAGCAGGCTCCCCTCCTGTCTCCCGGGCCAGGGGTGGAACACAGTCTCAGAGTGGGCACAAGTGTCTGCTGGGGTGACTGGGTCCTTCTTTCTGTCCTCCGGGGCAGAGCCTGCACTTGGAGCTGGGGGCTGGCCTGGCCGCAGCATCCTGTTCCCCAGAGCTCCCCCTCAGGGCCCCCGGAGACCCAGTGTCGGTCCCTGGCCCCTGCTTGTTGGGAGGCTACCATGGAAGCTGACCTGCCCTTGGTTAGGCTGGACCCTGCTTCCGCCTGTGGGGGTCTGCTGAGGCCCACCCACCCATTCCCAGACACCCGAGGGCATGCTGGGAGTGGGAAGCCTAGGGTCTGACCAAGGTCAGCAGAAAGTCCTGAGACCCTGTCCTCCCTCCTTTGAGTCCGAGAGCTGCCCCTGCCCCACTGCCTACCGCCCCGGTGCCCAGTGGGAGCCTGTGCTCACACCCACCCGCCGGCTGAGGTTGGGACTTGGCTCCCTGTCCCCCCTCAGCCCCCACAGGAGGGCCGCTCGGCCCACCAGGGCCTGTGAAGCTCCAATAATGGTTTTAATTTGTTGAACTTGTGTTTTATCCCATAAATTAGTCACTGTTTTATTTAACAGAATCGAGATATCCACAAACAATAGGCGAGTTCCAACTTGAACATTTTAATAAGACAGGAAAAAGTATATATTTTCGTGTCTGTTACAAACATATTTATGTAAATAGCCTGTGGGCCGTGTTCCAGGAGGGAAGAAGAAAGGGAAGGGCCTTCTGCGCTGGGGCTGGTTAGAGGCTTTCGTGGTGGAAAACGACACTGAGCTGGCGCCGAGCAGCTCAGCCCAGCGCACTGAGGGAGAGGCTGCTCCCACAGCAGTCCCCGGCCCTGTCCCAGGCCGGCCCGTGCCTGAGCCGCCAAGCTCGGGAGCAGAGAGCAGTGTGCCCGGCAGCAAGCTCCGGAGCCTGCGTCTTCCCACCACGGGACAGTAGGTGTGATGCCTCCCCCATGGCGTGTGGGACACGAGCTGCTGCTTGGCCTGGAAGGACACAGTGGACCCCACACATCCCCTCCCTAAAACCCTGGTAGGCTCCGACTCCCTAGGGGTCAGCTCAGGGCAGGCTGGCGAGATGATGCCAGTGAATGACTGAATAAGCTGGCCACCAGTGAGAAGTGCCAGTGCCAGCGGGGCAGCCACCTGAGCTCTGGGAGCAGCGGGGAGGCCTGTGCTCGGGAGCCCAGCCATGGGGGCACCAGGGCTGGCAGCTCAGGCCCTGGGCTGGTGGCTATAGACCCAGGAATCAGCCCCTTCTGGCTCTGCAGGAGCCGTGCCAGCATCCGGATCGGATCCGGGTACGCGCCGTTCCCAGCCCGGGCAGGTCTCTGCAGGAAGGAGGAAGGAGTGGAGGGAGGAGGCAGCTGGACGGCCCTGCCAAGCACCAGCCCAGTGGCCCCGAGTGGAACAGGAGGGGGTTGGCCAGGATGGGGGTCCTGGGGATGGGTGGAGGCCTTGCCTGGGCCCAAGGGTGAATCCTGAGCCTTAAGTAGGGCTTCAGGCTAGGGAGGCCACCCTCTGCCGGGCAGGGTCTGAGCCCCCTCCCCAACAGCCTGGCCTAATGCCTAGGGATAAACCTTGTCTGCCCCAGTCCCTGCAGGGGTGAAGAGTGACCAACTCCCTTCTCTCCACTGGCCCACGCCTCCCAGCCATTTTGTACCATCCCATACAAGCCAGGTCACAGCTGCTTGGGGGGGGTGATTTTTAAAAGTAAAAGGTAACTTGATCGATTTTTTTTTCCAGTTTTTATTGAGTGAAAATGTGCCTAGGGATAAACCTTGTCTGCCCCAGTCCCTGCAGGGGTGAAGAGTGACCAACTCCCTTCTCTCCACTGGCCCACGCCTCCCAGCCATTTTGTACCATCCCATACAAGCCAGGTCACAGCTGCTTGGGGGGGGTGATTTTTAAAAGTAAAAGGTAACTTGATCGATTTTTTTTTCCAGTTTTGATTGAGTGAAAATGTCAAACCTTGCATCAGTCATGCAAAAAAAAAATCAAATAAATAAAACACATATATTAAATTTCTAATAGCACTAAATTCAAGTGGAAAAATATTCAGTTCTTAATAACCAGGTGCCGAGGAGACCAGATTCAAGTAATCAGAGCACACGCTGTTCAGTTCGGTTTTCATGTTCTGCATTTTTGTCTCAAAACCTCTCTATATATCTCTATATATCTCTATATGTATATACATATAGATATATACACACATATGTGCATACATATTATTTTATATTTATATATATACACATACATAGTTATAAAACATTAAAAAGAGCATTGGTGGATCAAGCATTGTTTTCCCCACGGAAAGAAAATAAAAACAAAAATTACACGTTAAAATTCAAAATGAGCTAGCAATGGCTTATAGTCCTACTGTGCAATATGAAGGTTACAAAAGGCTAGACTTCGCACTGTCGGCATCTTCTTCTTTTTCTTTATTTTATTTTATTTTTTTATTTTTTTTATTCTGCTACATTGAAAAACTTTTTTTTTTTTCCTTTACAAAACTCCTTCCCACAGGCGCCCGGGGCTGTGGCAGGGCAGTCGCCCGGGGCTGTGGCAGGTCAGTCTGGGCGAACCCTCAGCAGCAGCAGCACCTGGTGCCCACAGCATTCAGGAGGCTCTGGTGAGGGCTGTCTAGAAACCATTTATTTCCTGTTGCATCAGGTACACCGGTCTGACTACTCCTCCCTCCCTGCTCCCTCTCCAGTGCAGATGGTCCTGGCTTCTGGCCGTGGGCAGCCAAGGGGACAAAAAAGGGGGGAGGGGAAAAAAGAACAGGTAAGCCACTGCCCCCAGTTGGGTCAGGCTCCCCTTAGAGACCTTTGGGGAGGAGGCTTCTGGGTGACAGCCTCCACCCTACCCTTTTACCCCCCTATGGCCCAACCTGACGCTGGCTGGTGGCCCTGAGCCCTGAAAAGGTGGACAGCAGCGGCCTTGGGCAGCCTGCTCTCCATGGGGCCTGGGCCAGCCCGTGATCCTGAGGGCCGCAGGGCTGAGGGCCAGGTGTGTGCCTGCCAGGTAAGGTGTGGCCCACACTGGGCTTCCATGGCCTCAGTCTCCAGGAAGGGAGGATGTTTTGAAAAGGGAACCAAAGCTGGAAGGCCGCACCAGCAAAGAAGCATCCCAAACAAAACAGTAAAACAAACTGGAAAAAAAAAAAGCCCTAAAAAAGCCACACGCATAACCAATAGAAACTCAAATGTTAAATTAACTACAAACTTGTATCAACAGTAATAGTCCTTTTTTTTTTTTTTGTCTCTACAAAATTCAAGTTAAAAGTTGGAATCACGCAGCTCCCATCAGTGCTAGTGTGAAGACAGACAGCCTCAAACTGTTAAGGCCTCGAATAAACGCTACACGAAATCCCACAGGAGAAATTGCACTCCGCTCTCAACCTCAGGGCTGGCCTGGAGGCGGTTCTGTGCGCCCGCCTGCCTTTTTCCTTTTTGTTCTATGTAGAATAATAACCTTTACAGGAAAAATACTGTACAACTTTCTTGTATTTTTTCCATTTTGGATATTAAAGCCAAGAACAGTCACATCCTTTCCGTCTGCACCACCAAGGTAGCTGAGCCACCTCGCCATCGCCCCCAGCACCCCAGCAGCTGCTCTTCCAATTGTGGACACACCCTCACTGGGTATACGGTTGGGCCTGGGAGTCACCCCACTGCCCGGACCCCAGCCCGAAGGGAGCCAATGCGGCAGCCAGGCCCTGGGTTGAGGCAGAGCGGCCACGGAGCTCCGGGCTCACTGCTAATTCCATGAGATTTCCTCGACGGTCGCTGTAGTGTCACCGGTGCTGACCACCCCCTTCCCCATGTAGGAGGAGGGGCTTAGCTGCATTCAAGGGAGTCCCTGACGCTACAGGTGCCAGAGACGAGCCCCGCGGCCCCCAGCGCCCGTCCCAGTCCTGAGCAATGAGGAATCTCCCACCCCACCCCTGCGTGGTAGTGAGAATGGGGGCCGGCCGCGGGGAGGAGCACTCGGGGCGGCTGCCCAGGATCCGCCTCAGCCTCAGCCCTGGGGACCCCTGCTCCTCTTTCCTACCCCGGACAAGAGCACCTTCTATTTCCCTGAAGATCCCCCAACTTCAGCTGGAAAAGGGTCATCGGCAGCCTGTGTCCTTCAGCTGCTGAGCTGCGCGCGTTCCGGGCGGGGCAGGCGGGCAGGGGGCGGCACCGGAGCACCAGAGGGGTCCCCGCCTCTGTCCTGAGACGGACTCGGGGTCCGGAAGCACCAGCGGGGCCGGGCGCGGGGAGCCCAGGGCGCCTCCCGACGCACGCGGGCCGGGATCAAAATGAACATCGAGCTCTGTACAGAGGGAAGCTTTACATATAAATAGCATTTTTTACAAAATCAATAATAACAATAATAATATAATAAAGAGGCAAGATCCCGCGCGCAGGCCTGGAAGCACGGACGGCGCCGGTGCGGGGCGCGGGGAGCACAGCGGGCGGGGGCGGGC